GAGATATTATTCGTAGTATTTTTTCGTTTATGAAAAAAATAATCATCTTTGAATTTTTAAATTAACTATAACTTTTTTCTTCTAGCAATGGAGAGATCATAAAAAGAGTATTACAATGATATATCATATGTTAGTATTTACATAGTAATTTGAATATAAAATTAGACTTTCTGACATGCGATTGTAAATTAACGGTAACAGTTTCCCCCCTCCACGAAGACCACCTGGGAAGGTGAACTGCCAATAATTCCTTAAGCAGTCGTCACAACTGTTACCTTCGGGGACGAAGGTAACAGTTGTGACGACTTCTTCAGGAAACATTGTCAGTTTAAGTTAAAATCACATGTCAGAAATTCTAATTTTATAGTGAAATAACCATTAAAATACTAACATAAGATACATCATTGTATTGATATTTTCATGATCTATCCATTTCTGGCAATAAAAATATATACGTTGACCTCTTTAAAAAATCAAAGATGGTTAACCTTCTGAAAAACTAAAAATATTTAATACAATATCTGAAAAACATATTACTTTCTCCATGATCCGCATTTTTGTGAGAAAACTTTGCTTCGCCATCGTGAACCGTTTAGAAGTAATGGGGGTAGCCCATAGTTGGTGGGACATTATGTACAGCAAAACTCAACTAGCCTTAAACATATGAAATTTTAAATACTACGTCACTGCGCTTCCAGGTGCATGTTATCTGTCGCCACGTTTTAGTTAAAGTTCATCCTTATTTTACGTGGCGAGAATCGGGACATCCAGCCAACTGTTCCGTCTGACAAATTTCTAATAGTCACGCAAATTTCGCTATGATCCTTTCACCATCTAGCGGAGAAAGAAGGTATCACTTGGGCGACGAAACAGGAGATTTTATTTTACGTCAGGGGCTTTTCTTACACTTGATATTTTACGTGCAGGGATAGATGAGTTTACTTTACCTCCAAAAGTTAGCATAAGAAGGTCTTTTTTGTGGGGGGGACTTAGGAATTCACGGACTCGATCAGGTTAGAGCCCGCATACGTAGGGACAGTAACACGATACGCTAACCTTGATGCCATCGAAGTTGCAAGTTATCGCTAAAGTTAGCCGATTCCTTGACGTTCGTTACGATAAGGGAGAACAGTAATGTACTTATTTTATGGCTGTTGAATGTTAGGAGTTCAAAGTTCAAATAGTTCATTTATTTTCAAAATCAGATGCGTCACTATTTTTGATTTTCCAGGAGTCACAAAAACCACAATTGTTTGAAAGGTTGTGCAAAATACGTCGTTTATGGATAATTTTATATTTCATGAATTTCAGTTAAATTTCTGCTTTGTAAAATGAAGTATTACTTTCAAAGAAAAGCTTCTTTTTTCTGTGAGATTGTATATGGTTTTGTAATGCTATGCCACGAGGTTCACGACATTGATCTCCAAGATGTATCATATTTTGAAATAAACCCACCTGATGAATCTCCTGGCTATAGCTCTGCGATCAGTGCCCAGTAGATATCGTACATCATGTTTTTTCTACCTTTGCAACTGATTCTATTTTACTTGGTTTTGTTAAAATAACTACTTTTTCATCGTAGAATAATAAACATTTAGTATCTCATTTAGAATGCTATAATTTAGTTTACTGTGGAATCACAAACACAAATGATACAAACTAAAATATCGAAAAAAGTTATTGGATTTAGGTTAGTGATCTCTATCGGCGCAACTGCTTTTTCACCGAAACTGCTTTTCGCCGATACTGCATTTTTCAAAGAGACTTTTTACACCAATTTTTTTTTCGTTGAAATTGTTTTATAACAGAAATTTATATTTAACCAAAATTGTGTTTATCCGATTTTTTTCACCGAATAATTTTTTTCACCAAAACCTTTTAATTCCTTTCAGGTCACATTATTGTGTCGTGATCGACATCGTTACGCTTAGACAAATTGAACTAGTCGGACGAGTGAAATATTCGAGATATCTTAGAAGTGAACAATTATTTTAGATGACTCTTATATTCGGTCCAACAGAGAATTTCTCGTTTTGTAGTGACTGCGATTGCTGGGTTTGAGTTTTGATGAGTACGATTCTCATCTTTCGTCTTCAAAATGAAGTAATCATTACCTGCATTACTGAAAGGAGGAGTGGGTTTGAATATTTTATTTGCGATAGTCCTTAAATACTCTCCGAGGTACTTCCAAACTAACTAGTTCAACTTGGAAAATCACCGTCTGTTGGTAGATTTATTTCCTTTTCCATCTATTTTATCCTGATTTCATTATTGAACAGTGTGATAGCTTACAAGGTGTCAATAATTATTTTGCTTCAAACACTAAACAAAACGTGATGAAAAAATATTGCAGAAAATACCAGGGAAAGTGTAAAAAGAAATGACGTACAAGGCAACCTAACTTCACAAAACGTCTCCAAGTGGTAGTCGCATTGTTAACATGTTTGCCACTATCCGTGTATCAGCTTTTATTTATATTGTCATACTGGCCCGGCTGCGATTACCCTCACTGTTATGTCAATTTCAGTTCTGAGAACGAAACCCAATACTTTTTTTTCAGTTTTCCGTGCTCCACTGATCAAGTGCTCAAATAGACTTACCTAAACATACCTTTTACTCATTCCTCACCCATATCTCACGTACACTGTTACTGTTTTTAAAATTAATCAATTAATATATTAAAATAAATCTAAATAATTAAATAAACTAAGTAAAGTGGTCTTGTCCTTTAACGCCAGGCAGAAGAGGCAAATGCTGAGGGGAGTGGTACGGTCCGCGTGATTAGGATGGCGGCATCACTTCATCACGCACCAACCAACAGACTCCCAATCCAATTCGCGAGCGACGATGATGTAACGGTTGTATCCGGCGTATCGGACTGTTGTACCCAAGTTGGCGGGTTCAATCCCGATCGAAGCCGTGGATTTTTAAGGACGAAAAAATCCTTCGTACGCCTTCCTTCGGAGGGGAAGTAAAGCCGGCTGTCCCATGTTCGTAGATTTACTTGCATGTAAGAGATCCTCAAGCCTAAATGACGCCTCTGAGCTAAATTCAAGTCGCCTGTTTCTCGCCCAAGAAATACCTCCTTCCTCTGCTAGTTAATGAAAGGAACGTAGCGAAATTTGCTTGGTCAGACCGAAGAGCAGGCCTCATGGCCTGAGTCTCGCCACGTAAAATAAGTCATCGATTTGGTTCGATTCGATGCGATGCGATGCGATGCGATGCGATGCGATTCGATTCGATTCGATTCGATTCGATTCAATCCACCTGGACCGGGCCTCACCTGAGCAGGTGGAACATCTCGTCGCGCGTGAGGAAGCCGTCGTTGTTGAGGTCGTAGACGAGGAAGCAGAAGGCCGTGCGCTCGTCGAGCGTGCCGCGAAGGAACACCGACAGCCCGCACACCCACTCCTCCAGGCGCACCACGCCGTCGTTGTGGCGGTCGAAGGCGCAGAAGATGCGGTCCATCAGCACCTCCTCCGTCACCAGGTCGAACGTGTTGTGCAGCAGCTCGCGGAACACCACCCGGTTCAGGCCCTGCGGCACGCCGCGGCAGACTCAGCGCTGCGTCGAGGCAGCCCGCTCGCCATGCTCAGAGTTACGCCACTGTGTAGGAATGAAACGACTTTTGTTTCGGACATACTCTTAATTATGATCCCAGGACCTAAGACGACTTTTCTTTCGGACATACTCTTAATTTTGATCCCAGGACCTAAGACGACTTTTCTTTCGGACATACTCTTAATTATGATCCCAGGACCTAAGACACTTTTCTTTCGGACATACTCTTAATTATGATCCCAGGACCTAAGACGTATGGCAGGCGCGTCAACCTCAATTAAAACTCGGGCCATTAAGGCACATGAAAATGTTCCCAACGGCCACATCACATTTACAAATTTTCTTAAAATTCAATTTTCAAGTTTGAAAAATTCAAAACAATGCTTTTTACCTACTGATTTAAAGTACGCGTTTCCCACTAAAATATTATGTGTGTAAACCTTTTTACTAATTCTCAAAATAACAAGAAATGTACACTGAAATCAATTTTTACTGTTTTTTGTATTCGAAAAATAATATTAAGTCATTTTTAATATCATAATAAAAAAATGATCAACGAACAATATCTTTATTTTGATGATAAATATTCCCATTATATTTCTGTTTGAACCTACAGTATACTTAGATGTGGCATTGCAATAAATGAATCGTGACTTTTCGCAACTGGTACAGGCAAACCCTTGCGTGTTATACGCTCGAGCTGAAGTGATCTGTGCTACAGTCACAAGGAAATTGCAATAGAGTCATTATGGCTAATGGTTCTCCTCTCTGGCACGCAACCTTCTCGAGATTAATTAACGTTATCCATTCTGAAGCATGAATTGTCTAATACGAAGGTGGTTGTGTACTTTATCTTCTACACGCATAATATTCTCAAAATATGAAATATTGATGTACTTAATTTATAACAAAAAAACCTTTGGAAACACGAAAAAACATAGGATTATTAGGGGAAAAGCGGAATAGATCTCAAACATCACATCTAGCCTTTATAGAAAGTGAAGAAAGATAAAACTAGCACATTTGAAAAATGTTCTATTGTTAAAGAGTTAGAAAGACTTCTTTACAGTCTGCAATGGGTATATGAATGTATTTCTGTTATTGTGAACTACTAACTGATCAGTTGTGTTTTCTGGCGATTTGATGTATGTACTGTCTGTAATTAATATACTATTAATGCCAAAATGGAAATTGTATAATGAAATCTATAGGGAAAGAAAGGGTGATTTGAGATAAATTAGATTAAATAACAATATCCAAACTACTTTTCCTTCATCCTCTATTACTGAAATAAAACCTCGCAATATATATATATATATATATATATATATATATATATAGAGAGAGAGAGAGAGAGAGAGAGAGAGAGAGAGAGAGCACAATATCACAATAAAGAATATTTGTGCTAGTATTAAAAAAATAAGTAAAATATATATTGAATGTATGTGGAAATTCAGGTATTATACGATTACATCTCATGCACATGTCCATCTCAAGTACATATGTTGATCGATAAAAACCTACGATAAATTGCGATAAGATCAATTTGTCAATCCAGGAGGTATTCAAAAGACACTAACCGTTTCTTATTAACCCGTGCACTTAACTTTCCTCTCGGAATTGGATTATCAATTGTAATTCGTGGTATCCTTTCTTCCATTTCTCAATCGAAAAATAAGTTAATCATTTGGAAGACTGTATCACAAATAAGCACACGCTCAACATGGAAAGGAAAGAGACGTTTATTCAAAAAATGCTGAAGTCCTCCGAGTTTCCTATTCTGGAAACACTTTATGACAATACTAATATGTCAGCAATCTCATACTATTCTTTCGGCTTCCTTCCATGATTGGATTTAAATTATCACTTTCATTGTTCGTTGACTCATCAAACTTTGTATTAAAACTTAATCAGGTTTTCATTAGCAATATTTATCACGTACACATGTCCAACATTTAATTCAAATTCAATATTTATACGAACCGTAATGCTATAAATTTCCATTCTTGGATTAATACAATATATTTTACGAACAAAAGGATCGTAAGACAAGACTAGATTGAAGAGTTATCAAACAAAGCCGTTATGTCGCTTCTGGTTCCCCTTTTTAAACATTTAAATGTTCAAAATTTTTCGTTTTCATATCGTCCTTGGAATGGTGACAGACAGAAGGTGGTAGCAGTCAATAGAAAGCCACGGCTTGTTAGAACACTTTTATTCGATTATCCTCATAAAGAATCGAATTTCATGCTGCAGGGTTACCTCCGCAGCATCTCTAATCGGGAGGTACTACGAAACCTATACGGTGACGGATTATCCATAGTCTAGTATACGGCAATGCCGAAGTAGGCGGCTGTCTGGAGACAAATTCAGGGAGAAGGCTGCCCTTATTGGTAGTTTCCCGCAATTTTTCTTATCATTACCAATCAAATACTCGCAGCAAAAAGCGCGCGGCGATGATGTAAAGGTTAATGGTGTATCGGACTGTTATACCCAAGTTGGCGGGTTCAAACCCGATGGAAGCCGTGGATTTTTAAGGGCGAAAAAATGCTTCGCACGCTTTCCTTCGGAGAGGAAGTAAAGCCGGCTGTCCCATGTTAGTAGATTTACTTGCCTGTAAAAGATCCTCAAGCCTAAATAACGCCTCTGAGCTAAATTCAAAATCGCCTGTTTCTCGTCCAAGAAATACCCCCCTTCTCCGCTAGTTGGTGAAATGTGCGTAGCGAAATTTGCGTGGTCAGCGATAAAGAGCGGGCCTGATGACCCGAGTCTCGCCACGTAAAAATAAGGCATTAATTCCATTCAATTCAATACCCCTGCACGTTGACATGTATGTCAACGTCGGATCTCTCTATTCAGGAGGAGGAAGGTATCTCAACGGCTAAAATATTAACTACATTGAAGGGACTAATGACCATAACAGTTGACGTTCTCGGAATCATCAATCCATAACACAGGCACACAAAGAAAGTTGTCAGACCCAAAGACTTGACTCGTGTTTCTCTATGTATTTCGATACGCTGAAACCGAATCCAAAGTCAGAACTGCGCCGACAACAATAAAACACCTTAAAATTTACAATTTACAATTCCACAGTGGTTTTTTCGCGGTTTAAAAAGAACTGAAGGGTGTTGGCACTATTCTGACTTAAGATTCGCATTTAGCGCGTCGACATAAGTAGAGAATGTGTCAAGCCTTTAGGTCTAGCAACTTTTTTTGTGTGTGCCTGAGTAATCGAAACTGATCTTACTGAGGTAAAGATTGACTGTAGATAATCAAAGGATAAAGATATTGAAAAGTGGCTTTTGTAGTTCCCCCGCCGGCCATCGACCGCCCGCGGGGGCGGGGCGGGGGC